TTTTACATTACTGCGCAGAGCGCCATCTATTGAGTATTAGAAATTATAATTAACACTCTATACAGCTTTATTGTTCTTACGAGACTGAAATCGGTTTACACTTGTTTGCGCTCGTGTATCAATTAGTTAACATTGCAATGCAATACGTTAGAATAAATACAAATAGGAAGCATATAAAAAATCTCCTGAATAAAAACCCATTACATGTGTGCTTAAATACAAAAGTATTGCATATAAGCTCGTGCACAGCATGTAATTATTAAAAAAACTACAGTGCGTCTAATGATTTGGACTAATTATTATAATATACTAATATAATACCAGATGTAATAAATATTTTATATTTATATAATATATCGTCTAATATTTATCCAATCGTCGAATTTATATCTTATATCGTTTAATTTAACTAATTGATAGGCGAACGTAAACAAGTACAAACCTTTTTCAGTCACGTACAAACAATAAAGTTGTATAGTATGTCCTGATAATTAAGATTTTACATACAATCTTATAGTGCGTCTAATAATTTGACCAGAGACTGTTTATACTTTCTATGAAATTGAAATATGCATTTTTACTTCTCCCCCCCCCTCCTGAAAAAAAAAACTTAAGGCGTTTTTTCGTTCACAATATGCCCTTTGAATGAATACGTTACAGAATACTACTTAATTATTGACAATTCAAGTTACTATAGCTTTTTTTTACTCAAGTTACTCAAAAATTAACAAATTTTCTTTTTCTTTTGCGGCATACTTTTTTTTTTAAATAAGACATCAATTTTTTCCGCGTATCTAATAAATTAATTAAGAAGAAAATAAATTTTTATAAATAACGTAAAACTAAACCACATTAAGCTAGCGATTATCACAAAATTTTTAACTAGCTCAAAATAGCTTATGTTTAAATAAAATATATAGTGGGCAAAATAAAAAAGATATTGCTCTAAATAACTTTTATTCGAATGATCGGATTTTCAAACTAAATGCTAATCTTATTGGTTCAAAGGGATAACAACGATTACGCTGATTATTTAGTGCAGGCAATAATTTAAGTGACGAAAACGGACACAAAAACCTACTTCCTTTGAATAAACTTATAGAAAAACAAGTTTTTCTTATATGTTTATTATATAAAAATTATTTCTTGCATAAAAATTTCGAGTTTTAACTGTGAAAATAAAGGTGATAGCCACGATCAGGAAAATATGATTCCAAAAAGAAATATGGTCAGGTGAGTGGTGCGCATCAGCATGTTTCGGGAAGATAATAAACGAATCGAAATTTCCTTAACGCAATTATAAAATTCCTTTTTCTGTGAATAATTTAGTGTAACAGATATTGATAATTATTTATTATTTTAATTAATAAGAGTCGAAAAAATTTTTGAATTTTAGGGTGCTCAAAATTTTTGTTGAATTTTAAACTGTGCAACTTTTAATAAAAAATCGTAAATTTGAATGAAATTGGTTGAATATTTCTTGAGAAATGAAGGTTTACAAATGCAGCTTTTTTTTAAATTTTGTAACTCAAAGACTATTTGACCAATTGCGATAAATAAATTTTTAAAAAAAAATTATTTTTTTAAAAAAGAAATTTTTTTAGAAAAAGCGATTTTCAAAATATTATAAGATATTAATAATAATGCCATATTAATTAAATTTTTTTTATATTTTTGGGAAATTTTGGGGCCGGTGACGACAGCTTATTTTACCCTATACTGGATGTCAATGCGAATTTCAATTGCTTCCTGACCGCTACCAGAGGAATTAGTGCTCACTTTATCACCTATAGGAATTTATAGTAATATGATATTTTAACCATTTTCTGACTAGCTAAAATGCACTTATTTCCACTGATGCTCAGAGCCTGAAGCCTATACAAGCTATAACCGTTTTAGAAATGGTGACATCATATTTTGAGAATCAATCAAAATTTTGACCACTTCCTGACTAGTTGGAGAGTTCTAATTTCCTTGGAGTTGATTATTTGATGATTATAACAATCAGTTATTATTTCACAAATTATGCTAGAAAATTTAACCGCAGCACAAATTAACTGACAAAAAACTGAAAGAAGCAATAATAAAATTGAAATTTATTAACTATACGCTTTTCCATTTGTTGAGAAAAGACAAAAACATAATGATGCATTACTTTCATTATGAAGTTCTATCACCATCGAAAATTTCTCCATATAATTTCTCCATGTAAATTTCCCCTCAGTATTTCGAAAGTAGCGTTCTAGCGTTTTTCATTTCACGTCAACTAAAAATATTTTTTTAAAAATCTTTCTTAGATTTCTTGAAAGTAGCTCTTAAATTTTATATTACATCTTCTTATCTATTTTCTATATTATTTTTAGGTAAACAATTTTGTCAAAGTGATTTTATTATTTTGAAATTGTTCGTTCATAATTTAAATTTTTTTTCTTCTTTTCATAATTATAAGATTTGTGTAAAATTATTTTTTTAAAAAAAATTTACAAAAAACAACTAACAAGAAACAAATTGTAATAATTCGATCTCAATTATATGAATGAAACAAAATAAATTCACTGTTACTAGTGAATAAATGTTGATTTTGAATGCAGCTTATGGCACAGTATAAAAAAATATTAATAAAGATGATTATTTTTATTAACTACAATAAATTTCAAAAATAAATTTTTTCCTTTCGATTTTTTTTGTATTTTTTTGTTTTAAATATATTAGTTTTCGTTTTAGAGTTTTCAAATTCTAAGAGCATGGTAGGAATTAAAATTTATATGCCGATTTTTTTTATATGTAATAGTTAGGAAACAAAGTTAGGAAGCAAAAACAGGCCTATTGTGTTGACGGAATATATTAAATATAATTTTCGACTTTTATGTATAATCTATAATGTTATAATAATAATAATAATAATAATTACTATTTTTTTAATTCACAAATCTGCAAAAACATTGTTTTAGATCAAGTTTTTCGACATATGCCTACCATGGAATAGGTGTGTGTGGGGCGGGGGGGGGGAAGGACTGAGGTTAAATTGGGGCTAAACTTATTTGTGGAAAAAGGTCCGCCAAAACATTAAGGAACTAGCTATTATTCAAACAATAGTGTTAACAAAATATTTTTATTCCTTCCCAGCCTTAATTCTCGCAAAATATGAAATCTGTTTTAAAAATTAAAAATTTTGGTTCAACTTTCACAGAAAGTCAATTACGTATTTTTGTAACCATTAAATCATATTGGGTTCTCATATTTTGCGAAATTTATTGTTCTATAACGTTTGTATTGACGTTTTTCCAATGTAGAAAATTACTTTTATGATATTTGGAAGGGAAAAAAAAACTCTAAAAGAAAAAAAGCACACTATTTCAGGTAATGTTTTTTGAGAAAATGGAGGGAGGAAACTTAGGAGAAGATTTTTTTAAAAATTTATTAATTATTTTCATTTAAAATTTGCTGGTTATAATTTTTTGAACAGCCGACCCAATTTCGAGTTTACTACTACCACTGTTCAACGCCCTAGTCTTGTAATTTTGAACCCAATTCAGAAGACAAGGGAACTTTAGTATCAATTATTGGGATACAAGTGAGAGGACTTTTTGATAGAACTATCCTTCACTGGCGTTACACGAAAGCCTCCTACGGTTAGACTGAAGGCAAAGGGACTATAATCCATCATATGTCTACCACTGAGGATATTTTACGTCAGCACATTCGGTGCAAGCCGGGTGTGGAATTCGTATCAACTAGCCATCGCAGGGATTCGAACCCAGGTCACTTCAATGGGAGCCGAGCGTTATTTATTCATATATATTTTCATATCCAGACATTAATTAAGCAGTTAAAAAAAAGTCGTCTCCAGCATTTTTTAAAATCGAAATCTTGACTTCTGGTCTATAAAGAAAATTTGATAAATTAGCAAGTTTAGCTATGTTTAATATTCTAATAATTTTAAACCAGCAGTTGTATTAATTAATTTCATTTTATGCAAATTATCCTTTTACTTTATTACTAATTAACTTTAAATATAGCTATATTATTTAAACTATATTATTTTATGGCCGGCGTTGAACACCAGACCCGTTTTTGTGATTACGACTATCAATGTTCAATCTATGACTTGTAATTTTGAACCAAACCTAGAAGAAGGGAGAATTCTTGGAACAATTTATGGGAAGAAATTTTCCTTCGTGGAGGACTTTTGGAAGAAACTAAACCACATTTGCATTTTATGAGAACGAAAAACACGAAAATCTCTTATGGTTTGCCCAATGGCTGGGGGTTTCTGATCCATGGTCCTTCTACCACAGAGGATTTACTATATTCTCACTGTAATCGGGCAAAGCCGGGAGCAAATTTCTAACTAAGGGGAAGAAGGGGTTAAAAAATAATGGAAAAAATATGACATCATTTATGGATTACCCCTGAAATTAATTTATTAAATAAAGTTCTTTTCAATACATGGAGGTCGGGGGGGGGTGCGTTGGGTATTTGTGCCCCCCAATGATTAGACATTTTTAAAAGTCTCCCTCAATGTTCCAGATAAATAAGGAAAACTTTCAAGAATCATCATCGATGGATTCCTCAAAGTTAAAAACAAGAAAAGGATAAAAAAAAAATTTCTAATCTTTTTTTGTACATTTGAGCCTTTTTAAAACTGCTAAATTAAAAAATGAATAAATTAAGAATAAGATTTTTTTTCTTCTTATATACGTGAAGCTTAGATAACTTTATATAATTTAATTTCGTCCCCTCAAAAATTGTATCTTTGCGACGGGGTTATTTTAAGATAATGCCACCTCTTTTTTTATTTAAAAACGAGAATTCTATAAAAATTATTCGAAATTTTTTAAAAAAAAAATTATATGTTTATTTGTTAAGTAGCCAAAATGTGCGGTGAATAAAATTAGTTCAGAAAAATCTCTGATTTGGCGAATAATATGGAATTATAGAAACACTTTTTGAATATTTCGGTAACCCTAACATTCCCTTTCTCCGAGAGACTTGAACAGAAAAGACGGGTCGCCCAAGGCTATAATTTCCTGCACGTGAGGAAGAATAAGAATAATAAAATAAAAAAAAATATTTCCTCTCGCTTGGCGATGAGATGGAGAATTTCAGACTCTAGTCCGGTTGTTAAAGAGACAGTTGTGGTTGAAGCTTTTTGGAAGCATAATGGATACACGTTTTTCGAGATTTTTATGCCTCAAAAATTACAAACTTTCGGAATGTTAGATCAAATGGATTATTTAGTAATCTAAATAAGCATCGTTCACTCATCTAGGAGTTTAATCGAATTTGTTTTCTCGATAAACAAAGGAAATCGTATTTCTCGCTAACAAAAGCAGGCTATTCTAAAAGAGTGTTCTTTTTTTTAAAGTTTGTGTGTGCTCCTGATGTCTTAAGGATCTATGTGATTTTTAAAGTTTATTTCTTTGATTCTTTTAAATTCTCATATGGTGAGTAATTTTAACGTGTTTTTAATTGTTTTCTAATATTGTTGTATTCGTATTTATGTTGAATAACTGTTGCTGTGTATCGGTTCTTGTGTTTTTTGTAGCCTGTTGTTGTTGTTACTCGCTCTGTTGTTGTTACTCGTTCTGTTGTCTCGATGAGTTTAAAATCTGCATGTATTTTTAATTCATGAAACCTTGCTGCACTAAGAAATTAATTACTCTCATCAGAGTGACCAACCAGGACAAAAAAATTCCCTTTTTATTTGTAATCAGAGTTATAAATTTTTAGAGTATTATTTTTTATATTTGCTTTAGATTTGCCTTAGATTAGATTTAGATTTGCCTTATTATTGTACACATGCAAGAAAAAAGCAACAAGCAATTCTATAATTATTATTAATACGAGACCCATTTTTTAGGCGAAAAAATATTGGATTTCAATGAAATTTTTCACACATTTCACAAGAATCTGATTTTTTTTTTATAACCTTGCTGCATTAAGAAATAATTAAATTAATTACTCTTATCAGGGTGACCAATCAAGAAAAAGAATTCCCTTTTTATTTGTAATCGGTTGTATAAATTTTTAATTAATATTTTTTAGTTATGCCTTATTATTGTACACATGGAAAAAAAACAATTATATAATTATTATTAATTCGAGACCCATTTTTTTAACAAAAAAATGTTGTATTTTAATGAACTTCTTCACACATTTTACAAGAATCTGATTTTTTTTAATTTATGAAACCTTGCTGCATTAAGAAATTAATTAAATTAATTACTCTTATCAGAGTGATCACTCAAGAAAAGAAAAATTCCCATGATTTTTATAAAAGAAATTCCTTTTTATTTGTAATCCACAGTATGAATTTTTAATTATTATTTTTTCAGTTATGCCTTATTATTGTATTAATACAAAGAAAAAAAAAGGACAATTATTGTAAATACCAGACTCATATTTTGGGTAAAAGAAATAATTGATTTTAATGAGCTTCAAACCCTAATTTTCCCTGACAATTCCAGATTAATACAATACCTTGTCAATTTGTAATTAAGCTATTAATAAAGATAATTATGCATTTTATCATTATTGTAATTTACATGTTAATGGTATTATCAATAATTTTTTCTAAGAACAACAGTAGGTTACAATTAAAATGGAAGTATTAATAGAAGGATTTAATCTGATAATGAGAATTCCCTCATTATTCCTTTTAAATTATATAAAAGATATCAACTTTAAAAATTTATTTTTGATTGAAAAATGCTAGCAACCATATTGATTTATGTAATTTCTATGACTGTTGTCAGGAAAACTGATTGATGAAACAAAACTGTTGTTAAGAACAACTGTTTAATAATTTATTTTTTTTCAATTCGAAATGTGATAAAATGAACTCTTAATTTTAATCAATTTGAAAGTTATCAATGTAAAAAACAACTTGCTACTCAAAAAGTATTTCGTACTGTGCTCCACGGTTGCCAAGTTATTTAATAATTTGTAAAATAGGATATCTTAGTTTATAATTTGTAAGGCAAAATTTTTTATATGACATTTTAATATATTTAAAAATGAAATGAAAAAAAATAGAATTCTTATAAATGTGGAAATCTGTGGCTGGTGAAATGTTTATTAATTTCTTAATTAGATAAGTGTTTTGATATACTATACTTGGGGAGATTTCCGTTTCGTGATCTGTAACAGAATAATTGGCAGGGCATCGGCCCGGAAGTTGCCAAGATTTGCCGGGCAAATATCTGCAGTTTTTTTTTTTTAAATGTTAACGAGTTTAAAATCTATTTGGCACATTGACGATTCTAGCTAGCGTGACAGATCACGCCACTGTTTTTAATGTAAACAAACCTCAATTTTACAAACTCGATAGAAGACTCTAAAAATTTCGTGATATCAAAAATTCAAGATGCCAAAAATTTAATCTTTTAATTGAATATCGAATACTTATTAACAATTGAGTTCAATAAATACTGCCATTTTAAACGTTACATCAGAACTATTTTTTGAGGTAAATTGTATTTAATTCAAAGAACATTTTTTTCAAACAATGTCAATATTTTTACTTTTTCATTTGATTTTGTGTTTTGCTGAAATTCTACTTCTCCATCATTTTTTTCTGATAATACATATCTCTAGGGGCCTTAGTCACTCTTAACACTTTTTATTCTTCCCAATCAGTGGCGGCGGAAAACTTTTTCGCTTTCTGGGTGATACTGCAAACAGCACCCTTAAAATTTTATTTTGAAAATAAAAAAAATCTGATTTTTTTTATTTTGAAAAAAATTTTTATTTTTTTTATTTTTTATTTTTATTTTTTTATTTTATGTATAAATTTTCACAAAATAGGTACCTCTCAGAAAAACCTGAAGTATTCTTTAAATTCTCTATTTCATCTGGTTTTTAAAATTCAATCATGCATTCAAAGCTATGTATTATAATGAAAAATTATTTTAATAAGCTTGAGCTTCTAAAATATTGTTATAATATAGTTTTAATATTTATTTAATTTTGATTAAATATTTATAAAATTTTTTTTTTAATCATAAATTGAAGTTCTTGCAGTGTATTTGAATCAAAAGTCAAAAATATCCGATTTAAATAATAAAAAAAATATCACAAACCCTGAAAGTAGCTATAAAGTCCCTCCCCCCTCCAATGGTCAGACGAAATATCGTTCTGTCCATTTTATTGATTTTCAGACAATTCTACGTCCATTATGCCGAATGCAGTTTTCTGATAGTTAACTTTGTCAACTAGCTGCGAAAAATTCATGTCCTTGCTGACATTATTGCGGAATTCAGCTAAATTTTCGCAATTACGATGGTAAAATGAACCTATTTTAATGAAATTCGATATGTGCATACATTGATGCAATATAAAATAAAATAACCATTCAACAATTGTAATACACACGCATGATTGTGCGTTAACATGAGAATTGAGGTATGAAATTGTCGCAGGACAATTCAGGCCAATTGCCCCGGAAATGATAAACTGCCTTATTTCAAGTATGAAAACACACTGCAAGGCCTGTATATCTGTACGAGGGGACCATTCCGCCTATTAACCCTTTTTTGTTGTTTATTCTGCAACCGCTGTTTCAGGGCTCGAAAAAACTCAGAAATTTTACCCGTCCCCGAGGACGGCTCGTCCAACAATGCACCCGTCCTCCGTGGAAAATAACCCGTCACATTTAAATAAATAAAAAAATAATTTTCTCCTATTTATTACAAACATTTATATAAATTGCACAATGAATTAGTCGTTACTATAGGATTACATTATACAGTAATAAAAGAAATACTAGGTTACTAATAGTAACCAGTATTTCTTTTATGAAATAATTTAAATGACAAGGGTCAAGTTATCTGGAATGTCAAGTTATCGAAGGGTACCGCGTTTTTTAAATGAATCAAATATGACGTTTGCCAGTTCCACAATCAAGCCAATGATTTACAGAGGTTTCTGAACAGAAATCTGAAAGGGGTTTTCCATTTAGGTAGTTGTTCATAATTGTTTTTAAAGCTTCTTGTTTAAGACCAGTACGTATTGTGTTTTTTTGTAAGTTTATTGCTGCAAAGCCCCTTTCAACCGCTGCAGTACTCCCAGACAGAGAAAACATCAATATATGCGCAGTATGTTGCTGTATTGTGGGTCATTTTGCTGCCTTGTAACTTACAAGACTCTTGTAACGTAACAAAAATTAAAAATGTATCACGAACATTAACGGGAAAATGGCCGTCCGCGCGGACGTCGGATTCGAGAAATTCGTTGTCCGCGGAGAATTTTTGACCGTCGAGGCCTGGCTGTTTTTCGAGCCCTGCGCTGTTTCATTCCTTCCGACTCCAACAAGTGTTACGCAAGATCATGGGTGTGTATTACAAGTGTTGAATGGTTACTAGTTTTGTACTGTATCAATGTATGTACAGATCAAAATTCATTAAAATCGGTCCAGTAGTTCTTGAGATAATCGACCAAGTCTGCAAATTCTCTTAATTTCTTACGCCAGTGTATATGACTGATGGTGATTCTCGTAAAATGAGATTTTATTTATTTATTTATTTTTTTGATATTTAGAGTACTAAACATTGCGCCGTTGCACAAAACGGTCGTTGTATTTTCGAAACTAATTTAATTTCTTGGTAAAAGCAGAAGGAAAAAAAAATTAGAGATTTTTGGCAAATTCAAGCACGATCGTCAGGGGTCTATCATGATTTAGCTTTACGGTTCCTGTTATATAAAATTGTACGAAAAAAATATCTTAATTTTGTGAAAATAAGAAAAGTTTTTGAATTATAAAGATAAATTCAGATAAATTAAAAAGAAATTTATAAAAACTCTGCCCACAGTTTTCTGATTCTAAAATTATCATAATTATGCGTGTTTTCTTTTTTCATAGATGAGTGGAAGCCGAAGTCCTGCTTTTGCCGAAAACGTGTCTAAAAAATAGTCGTTTGAAAATTTTGAAATAATAACGTTATATAAACTTTTTTTTCCTAAGGAAGAGTTTTGTGAAGAGTCCTTTTTACTATAAAACAACTGACTTTGCAAAATAAATAAACGTGTTTTTAAAGGAATTGCCGTTTTTAAATTTTGATTTAATAACGTCATCAACCAACCGTCATCATCTATTATGTGAAGGTTCGATTTTACGTTAAAATAATTTGTAAAACGTTCGTAGGGATAAAAAATTTTCATCAATAAATCTCTGGTAGTATTGGATAAAATGTAGAAACCTATAAGGTAAATAAACTTATTTTTGAAGGATGACGCCCTACTATATTAAGGGAGGGGAGACAGCATTTTAGTTTGGGCAGACAGATGAAGAACTTGATTTTAATTGTCAATGAACTAGTGCCTGGCAAATTGAACGAAAAATGTGTGGAACGTGTAGTTGCCAGATTTCATTCTTTTTTTTTAATTTTATTTATCTTAAGGATAGCACGAAAGGAAACCGCTGGTCTTTTTAAGAGATGTGATTAAT